CTGCATGTGGTATGATTAGTACTTAAAAGTGCATTTTTATCATGGTTTTATATCATCATTTTGCACTTGAAGTATCAATAACTCCTTAACTAAAGCATGTTTTATAATAATATATCCAATAATATAAAATACCTTTAATTTATGGTAAATATTCATTTTAAATGTAGGCCTATCACATAAATGAAAGGATTGATTGATGACTTTAAGAACTTAAATTGCAAGGGCAAAGAGATGACCAAACTTAGAAAAGAGATGCCAGTACAGTCCATAACAGAATACTGTTCGGTAATTGGGTCATATCTAGAGCTATATATCTCAGATTTAGGTCCAATTTATATGGATGGAAAGGTAAGACATAGACCTACAACTTTCATATGGAGCCCAAGATCTAAAAAGGCCATTATCAAGTCCAAATTGTAGCAACAACAAAGAAGCCCGAATCTGTCTTCCAGCCCGAGCACTGTTCGGTATTTTGGCCATATCTGGAGTTCTAGAAGTCCAAATGAGCTGAATGTTTTACACAAGAAAGCTGAGACAATTGCCTACAACTTTCATGTTTGCAACTGGCTCCAATTTTGACGTTATCAATGACGTTTTGGGCAGACAAAAGAAGATAAGGATTGTCACCAAGTCAAAAGTTGGTCACCCACTTATCAATTAGTCATCAAATCAATAGTTCCCATTTTTGGCCTATAAAAGGAGGCATTTGCCATGCATTTAGGCATCTTGGTTTCCAGATCAAGATCATGCTCTTCCTTTCTCTCTTTGTATTTTTTATGCTTTGTTTTCATTAATATTAAGTTTATGCCTTTCATTTCCTTTCCTTTACTTAGTTAACTTTTATGTTCTTATTTTGTTTATCTATTTTGCTTTCTTTCATTATGTCTAGCTAAGTTAATTATGTCAAGGTGAAAAGGTTACACTAATGGTGTAAGAATAAGTATAATGTAAACTTAATATGGACTTTAATGTTTGATACTAACATGTTTTATATTTGTTATCTTGTTCACTCTTTAATACTTTGCTTGTTAAATGACTAATCTTGATTTATGTTGTATAACACTTGGTACAACAAATGCTTGGCACTTTCATAGCCCATAATGTATGGTATAACCGACACCTGAGCTATGAAAGGAACTTGATTTATTGTTAACATAAGTTATAATCATGAATGCTTGACGAGATTTACAAGTATTAGCATTAATTGAATAAGATGACTAATGTAATCATGTTAACAATATATAATCTGATTGGAACCTCCTTTGGTGTTAACCTTAATCATGTGTACCATCTTAAATGGACAATCCCATTTTAGAGTCAATTCTTCTCTCCCTCTAACATTCCTTGTTGCCTCTAGTTTTCTCAATACTTGAAGTGGAGGTAAGCATATTAACACACACATAATTGTGCGAGTCTAAAATATGATTAGAGAGAAATAATAAAAATGCATCCAGTATGAACTGATATGGGTTAAGTCAAACGTTAAATAGTTAATGCATGTAGATTTATACTTGAAGTATTGATCATGGTTATGTGAATTATGGAAAGGTACATAATATAGTATGAGCACTCCAAAGGGATGTCTGACAAGAGTTCCAAGTCAGGATTCACCTTTACCTTCATAGATTCGTAAAGGATAATGCCACGAAACTAAATATGCAAAAGATAAACTAGTGAGGTTGTGGTTGAGAAAGATGAGCCTTTATGGTGGCTTCTTATATATGAAAATGCCCTAAACAGGTTATGTGTCTACCCTATGATATAAGATGATGAATATATGATATAAAAGACCCTATATGAGGAATATAATGAATGAAATGTGTGCTAAGGCTTGATAGGGAAAAATTATGCTCGTATGGGTATTATGTTATTAGTTGAGATATATAAATCCTGATATTTTAAGTAAATAAAAATTTTGCTTATAAGATTTATGACATGATTTTTCTACCGTTCTATATAATAAAAAGCTAATTTAATATTATATATTGTTTAAATTCTTATACGTTTCAGCTAGATAGTGGATGGGCTTGTTGATGGACTAGTTAGTACCTAGAAAGATTTTATATGACAATAATTATATAGATTGTTATGTTAATATAGTATGCTATACAAAAATTGACTGGGAATTTAAGTGAAAATAAACTTATAAAGTTTTCATTTGAATAATTAACCTTAAATGTAATTCAAGTGTATAGTTTAGTATGTTTTATGAATATTGCTATGTATTTTATGTGAAGTGATTAATTGATTGGAATACTTAAGTCTTGATATGTGACCGTTTATGAGTATTTAAATGCAAATCTAATTGAGTTGAGATTATATAAATATTTTTAGGTGAAAATGAAAATGATTTGAAGAACTAAAAACTAATTAAAATTTTATTAGAAATTTAAACTAATGGAATAGATTGATTTTGTGAAAGGCTGGATGAAGTGCCAAGGTTGTGGTGGTCGAGGTGTTTACGATTTGCTCTAAATTGAACCTGTTTGTTTTTATATTTTAAAAATTTAAATTTTGTTGCTTTAAATTAATTTTTTTTATATTTTTAAATTATTTTAATATACTGATATTAAAAATAATTTTTAAAAAAAATAAAAAAATATTATTTTAATATATTTTTAAATAAAAAATATTTTAAAAATCAATTATAACCACACTTCCACTAAATAATTTTATTATACTATAGTGCATAATGCACGTGCCTCTCTAATTATTATATAGGGCAAATTTAGCAAGAACAGATAAGAAGGTGGGAGGGCATATCATGCTTCAGAAAAATGCATCTGCCTAATAAATTATGTCTGTTATCCCTGCTTTGAATCAAGTTATAGGTGATTTCTGGGAAATGAGGACGTGCAGGCAGGATTAATGGAGCACTCACTGCCACCAAATTTTTGAGGATTCTGGACTCACAATCTACTTCTATATATCTTTAATGATTTGATCCTGAATAAAAGGCCCCTCAATAGCAGTGGACCAGTGAAAATCCTCCAGGGATAGCAGGGTAGAGATTTAATAAAAATTAAAAATAGTCTACTTATTTTTTTATGTGTTTAATATTATAATAAGATGTTTTTAAAAATATTATTTGCTTGAAAAAATAAAAATTATTATATTTTTTTAAACACTCATGACAATTTTATTTTTTTTCATCTTTCTTATAATTAAGCAAGGCCGGCTCACCATGAGCAATCCAAATCTAATAGTTCCTTCTGTTGAGTTACGGTAGTTTTAAAAATATAATTTTAATTATTTTTTAAAATATTTTTTATTTAAAAATATATTAAAATATTATTTTTTTTATTTTTTATTTAATATTCATGTATTAAAACATCTGAAAATATTAAAACAAATTTAATTTGATGTAAAAAAATTAATTTTTTTTAAAAACTTTTAAAACACAACCAGATTTTAAACTTTTCAAGATGGAAAGTTGAAAACCTTTCAACTCTAGACAAGCATAAAGAATTGATTGCTAATCACTATTGCATCTGATAAGATCTCAAATCCAGATTTCTTGCTTGATTTTATAAAACAGAAGTGGATTTAAGCTCAGGTAACAAAACCTTGGCAATACTTATGAAGACAGGTTTTTGGCTTTGTCTCCTCAAACCAAACACAATCATGTTCCTTGCGTTCTGTACAAACCATGATTATTCTTTTGTTTTTCTTTCTTGTGCTGGCAACTCGAAGGTGTACATGGCTGGCCCGGTTCCATGGATCTCAATACAGTAAGAAGGCTTTTCTTATTCATAGAAGAAGAAAGGATTAAATTATCATATTGTACGTTTTTAAATATGAAAACCTCCACCAGGATCATGATTTAAGCTTGAAAGAAATCATTTTGGGGCATAATATAGGACAAGAACCATGCAAATATATTCAAGAAATGCAATGTTCAAGCACCTTCAAGTTTCGACCATTTATTTTTCCTTGGTAAACATTGACGAGCCCCTTGAAATAATGAATCATTCCCACCTTCGGCACTGGTTAATGTGGTTCGAAAACCATGTCCTGAGTGGCTGGATGCTCATCAAGACACTGTTATTAGTGGATCATTCTCCGTCTCTCTAATTATAATAAATACAAATAGAAGCACCAATGAATTTTTTTATTATTATATTTCTTAATAAATATTTACAAAAATATTTCTTCGATAAAAAATCTAGTAATGCTTATTCTTTTCTTGTCACCTCTCTCGTTCTCTCGACCCCAGTATATGCTTCAAAGAACTTTCTCGGGCTTCGAATCATGACTCGAATAGAAAATTAGAAGTCTTGTCATCTTCGAGTGCTTCAGTGACAATCATTTACTATCATGTATGATTATCATGGTGCCTAATCCCCATGAGCATGATCCTTTTAACAAGTAGATCATGGGAAAATGGAGGAAGCATACTCTATACTTGGAATATTTTGGATGATAAAAAAGAAAAAGAAGAAAAAAAGGAGTTATAGCCCATCATTTAATGACAACTAAGAAACTCATTGCCAAGTCTTCTAACTGGAATCATACGGCATCATGGAAATTCTCTTTTGCCAAATCTCTCTGGCTGACGGTGAAGACATTGGAAACAATGTCCAAGGAAAATCAATTTTTTTGTTTGTTTTCTTCAAGATACAGCAACCAAAGCATCAAAATGATTATAGATGCCACGAGGTGTGTTTAACAATATAATTTATCGTCATAAATGTTGTTCATGTCTGCAAGCACATGGTTAATTGATACGTGTCACTAGGACTTTCAAGGAAGGAGATGACTAAAATCTTTTCGGGCATGCAAGAACCTTACAATGAAATCTGGAAATCCAATTTTGAAGGGTCTATTTTGACACCAAGAAAATCAATTTTGCGTGTGCGTGTGTGGAGCATCATGCGACAGGCATGATTAATAAGTAGGCATTCATGTTCAACTCATGGAGTTCTATGCATGTAGGAAGAGAAGAGGAGAATTTTCATTCCTCAATAGACTAGATTATCAAAGTTTCATGAAAAGGGAAATGACAAATGTGACTTTATTGCATATTTCATGCTGAGAAAATTATGACAAAGAATACGTGGGGTGGACTATACATCCCAAAACCTTCCCCATCTAAGAAATTTTTGTGTTAGCTCTTTACAATCCAGCTAATTGGATATTAGCCCTCCAATGACAGAATTCCCCATAGAAAATCTGATTATTCAAAAATGAACCATTATAAATATTCCTGTGAGACTGCTGAAGAAACTCAAGGATGAAATCCTTAGTCTCCTTGAATCCAACTTGAGGCGTGATCCTAAAAAATGAACCATTTATGCCTGCAGTCTCCATTGAATATACATTAATATATATTAGGTCATCTCCTTTGACAAATATGCACTGGCACTGGGTATTATTCAGGATGATCATCTGATTAGCATGACCAGGTTCATGTAATTCTCAATGGGTCATCTAACAGTTGCAAACACTCTTGCGGATTGGCATAAAAATAATCTTCATCCTTTGGTTTATCTGGTATAACGACTCGCATCTTTGGGCTACCCATCCGATCAGCATGAGTTTCCTTCACAGTGGAGGAGAATTCATCCCAGCACAATGACCCTTTGTTGTATTCATCTATTAAACCTACCAGAAGCTTTCTGTCCAACAAAGTAGTCTTCTTGAACCCCAAGAATCTGGAAGTCATCAAAAGACATGAGAAACTTATCATCTTCAATTGATGTTTTCTTTCCTTCTTTCATTTTTCTTAATGGAACTATGGACAGTACAATGTAAACTAAATCTATCAACTATAAACTCCAAATTATATATCAACAAGCCCCTCAGTTACAGATAGCATTCTTCTTTTTTACAGATTATTCAAGTATTGGCGAGGGAAATTATGCTGTGCATGGTATCAGGGTTACATCAGATAATTTAGGACATTTTAGTTCATTTTATATTGCAATAACTCTCAGTTCAGTTGAGAATCTATATTAGACGGGGCAGCAATAAATTACCTGCGATGACCTTCAACAACTTTAGCCATGTTGCCATCATATGTAGGAACAAATATGTCACTCTCTAGGGACACCAGATAATCTAGTGCTGCCATTTGAGATGAATGGTTCTGGAAAAACTTCAAGTCTGATGGTTCCAACAGATCCTCTTTCCTGACCTGTTCCATGTTAGAAGGATGGATTATTTTAAGGCATTCCTTCATACAGATGTTAGAAGAAGTTGCTGCTTTTTTCTACTCACCAAATTAGGAAAAGCTTCCATCAAAGTCTTCATCCTTCTTTCCCCACCATATATTTCTCCGGCAGCAATATAAATTTGAACATTACGATCAATTCCAAGTGCAGTTAACACAAGGGCAGTTTCCTCAGGAGTCAAAGGACACAAACCTTCTTTCCTTTTCATTTCAGAACTAATATCTTTTTCCTTCCACCAGGGATAAGCATATCTGACCAAGTGAAGTTTGTGAGATTTAGTTGTGTTTGACATTAACAGCATATTAACAAAGTATCAAAGAGAAATTACCTCATTCTTGTCAGTTTTTCTACTTCCTCATCATTGCAACCATGAGTGCAGCCAGAGAAAGCCAACATGTCCCTTTCATATCTGAGATGAAGCACCAGGAAAGGGCCTTTCTCCCTCAATATCTTAACAACCTTTCTACCCAGTTCTTCTATCATTGACGTAAACTTTAAAGCATTAAAATTTACTCGGCAGCGTAACTTTTGAATCTCAAGAGGAAGTCCATTATTAGCAAGGCGAGCATCTGTTTTGTTCAAATGTACAACTTTGAACTTTTGCAGAAGAGGAAGGATCTGTTGGCAAACACTTTAGAAAATTAGTCGCATTAGTCCAAAAACATTAGCAAAATAAAAAGGGAAATGAAAAGGCTAATGCTCACATTACAATTCTAGAATTCTAGTGTGTACTAACCTGATGGGTGTAGTAAGAAATGTTTGACCAGCTAACAGGAGGTAATGAGTAGAACAATCCCAATTCTACTCGTGTTTTGAGCCTAGGCGGTAGCTCTTTCAATATACGAACCTCGCCCCTCAAGGAAGCGATGAAATGATGAACATCAAATATGTCTTGAAACTCACTGCCTCACAATGAAATGAATGAATTGATCAGACAAATTGTAGGGGTGTTTTTCAAGACTTTATACTACTGAATTTACCTTGGGTCATTCCAAAATGAGGTTTTATCCAACTCTGGGACTATAAGAGTAACATTTAGATATCTTGCAATAGCGACCATGTCACATATCTGCATTACAAGTCCAGAAGTGACGATATATCAAATGGTTATAGCAGCAAACTAGATAGGCCATGCATAATCAAAACGCAATTTCAGTATTGATGATTTATTATTTAAGCTGCAATCGACTCACTGCTGCTCGCATTTGGTTCAGTCCTCCATTGCAAGAAACCATGAGATACCCATTATTCTTATAAACTCCTGCAAGCAACAATTACCAAACTTAGGAATAAGAGGAGAAACTAATCAGATTTTTCAAGGAAAACTAAAATAACAAAATTAGAAATGATATACGATAAAAACAAATTGAAAATCTTGGGCAAATCAGCAATGGTACAGAAACATTTATTATAGTCATAAGCAGCAAATCAATCCATGTTAGACAAGGAAAAAAAAATGTATGAACAGTATGAAAGGACATTAACTCATCAAATCAATTATCTCCAATTAATAGCTGGAACAAATTGATGAAAGCAAAGAATATACAAAACCAAAGCACATGATTTTTCTCTACTTTAATGAATATCAACAACCTTTTCCAATGTACATGCTCAACAATAACTAAGCTGAAATTAATGAAATTATGAACTTACTCTTTGGAGGAAGGATAACTTCGGCAGGAACAGAAATTAACTCAACATCTTGATGACTATAACAAGATGTCCAACTCTTTAACAATCTCGGGCCCCAGGTCTCTCCCAGTGACATCAAATGAACCACACAAGTCCATAACAATACAGTTGTGATTGCCCTTGTCATCCATAGCTTCAATGGAGACCTTGAAACCACAGAAGTTTTCAACTTTTTAAACTTTCCACCACCACATAATTTCAATTTCATCTCCCATTCCTCACCAGAGTCCTCTGCCTTCCACATTTTTAACATATTTTCCCTCCAATATCACCAAACCCAGTTTAACAATCCCTTAATATGTGTCAAACTTAAGATTTAACACAAATGATGCTCTCTCTTTCCCTACTTGATCTTTTGTATCTTAATGAAATGTCAGATAATGCTCACTCTTAAAGAGACAGAGATTCTTTGAGCTTGATTAAGATAATAATTAAAAAAAAAAACTTGAAGCTCTAGACCCTTCCTTGTTTATATAAACTTCTTTTTTTCAATTAAAATAATCGAAGACACCAGTTTCATGTTCTTTCATTACTTTAATCTCCAAAACACCAAACTTTGTCAGCTTACACAACTCTAAAACAAATAACTTAAGTATCCAAAGAAAACCCAGAAATGAGATGCAGGAATTTCTGCGAAATCTTGATAATCAAAAATCCCAGTTTGAGCTCAATATTGACAATCTCTCATAAAAAGCTTACTGGTACGCCAATGAGGTGTGGTTAAACTTGAAAAAGAGAATGTGGGTATTGAACACCGAAAGATATGGAAAGAGGAAGAGTTTTGTGGTTGGTATTTTCCGACGAGATTTGTCAGAGAATATCAGAGAGAGAGAGGGAGGGGTAGAGGGCAGTAATTAAAAGGAGTGGGAGTGTTGATGGTTTTAACTGCTCCAATGTTAAAGTGGAAACCATTGTTTTTCTTTATTATTCATTTTGTCGATGTTAGAATATCATTTATGAATCTCTTATTTAAGAAAAGAAAATCCTGACAACAAATTGCTTGAAAATCATTTTTCAAATTTCTTTTATGTTGAATAAATTTTACGAAATTTAATTAAGTATTTTTTCTAGGAAATTTCTGTTTTTAGCCAAAAAAAAAAGAAATATATTCTCTATGTAATTCATTTTTTATGGAAAGTATTTTTCAACAAACAAATCAGAAAACCTCAAGTTTGGATCAATTTTGTAAAATTTAGATAATATCATTCATGATCTATTTGTTACTTTAATTTTTCTAATATGTTTTAAAAATATAAAAATTTCAAAAGATATTATCTTTTTAAATTTTTTAAATTTTTTTTTAAATTTAGCTATTTCCTAGATTTTTTTGTAGTTTTTATATTTTAATTTTAATTTCAAGTAGACATATAAAAATGAGAAAAAAAAATGAGTGTGGGCTAAAAAATAGAAAAGAAAAGAAAATGATGGGGGGAGGGGAGAATTAAGAAAATTTGAAATAAGAAAAAAAAAGAAATAAAGAAGGGAAACAAAAAAAAACAAATGTTCTTATTCAAAAAAATTTTCATATCCTAATTTTACATTAGGATTTTCTAGAACATATCTATATATAGAGGTTACCCTAAACTTTTCTGTATAAATGCATCTTTTTTCCCTTTCAAACGAAGGGGATATTATTTTATTGGGAAAAAGAATATTCTATATAAAATATAATAATATATAGTCGATGCTTCTTCTTGATTCAAACTTATTGACGTGATTTTGGTTGCATTAATTATGAAATTATAAATCAAATTACATCTTTCATTTGGACCGATTCATTTTTATTTTCAGTGTCAAAGTCTCTTTTCCAATTTTTTTAGCACAAGTTATTTCATTCAACAACATGCACAATTTTGGCCTCCTCTCTAAGCAACCAAGAGATGAGGGAATAAGAATAAAAAATAAATAAAAATTAAAATAAAAAAGAGAGCAAAACATAAGACAAGATAAGGAGGAATACAAGGGATTTGTAAGTAGAGCTTAACCCATGCAATGAAAAGTGTGCGCAAGCTGGCTCGGACACCCACGTTAATCTAAAAAAAAATGCGCGCTACTATAAAATTATTAAATATTAATAAAAATAATGATGAAAAAATATCATCAATAAATTATAATGAAATTTATCAAAAAAAAATATTATATTATTATCTTTGTTGGTATTCACTAATAGAAAACACTCATATAATGAATACATAAGAAATTACTAGTAGAATTTAGTGAATGGAAAAAAAAATTAAGTAAGTATTCCATTGTTAATTTTATTGGAAAATCTAACATGTCAATATTTTTTATGGAATTGCTAATAAAAGATTATTGTCACTAATTTTTGTTGGAGAATCCATTGATAATATTTAAGTTACAATCTGCTACATGAACCCCCCCTCCCTATCCCCCATTTCTTCTTCTTCTTTCTTTTATATATAGAAAATAACACACTTCCCCGTTTTATTTGGCCACAAATCAAGCTTTTATAATTACAAATTTGGTCACCTCAACACTTAATTTGTGAATATCTCTGTATTATTTTAATTTTTTAAAACATATTTATCACATCAAGTAAGCAAACCTACCTATTTTTTTGTTACAAAACATTTTTTTTATGTTAATGTTTTGGTATTTTTGTGTAGTATATGTAGTTTGTTTGTGTGTTTATTTATTTCATAGCTTTTTTCTACAAACATTTATTGTATAAATGCATGATTTGTACATGTTAGGGTTTGTTTGAGATTTTAAAAGTTTTATTTGTTTGTCATGTGATGAGATCCAATTTGATTTTGTAACTTTGGTGTTTTATAATAAAAAAAATAATGGGTTATTTAATGGGTACGTTTCATATTTTGTCAATTTTTTTGTTAAGTTGAATTTTTTGATAAATTTGAAGGAATTTGGATTTTGTGAGAAAATTGATAATAATTAAAGGGTACTATTAAAATAGATTGAATAAGTTTAAATTAAGCCAATGATAGCTAATTAGTTGGGTATTGATAATTTATTTAGTTCACATTATTAATTAATACATGTTGTCTTTAATATTTTATATAAGTTTCATATAAGTAATGGATAATCATTCTTGAATGTATCGAGTTTCATGTAAAGGGTTGTTTATTGAAATGAAGTTTAGGTTTTCATTAATTACTCATATCTAATTCAAAAAATATTAGTGGAGGGGATATTAAATGTTCATATAAAGGGTGTAAAAATAAAAAGTTTCTAAATCTCTGTTACAATGCACCTTCAATAAAAAGGATTTATGAAAAAATATTCATATTGATTTGCACACGGACAACCCTATGTTCTAGAAACGTGCATGGAATTATAAATGAGAATAGGAAACCTTATAGGAGTTTGATGATGGATGCAATATGAATAAATTAGAGTTATATAAGTAAATGTTCAAGAGTAGATGAAGAATCATAGACTGAGTAAGGTTGGTTATAATAAAATCATTAAATGAGCAAGAAGCATTTTATTAATTATTGCAAAGGTGCTCATTATATTAAATTATTAGTCATTGTATATATGTTCACTATCAAATCAGATCATGGGCTGAATGATGTTGGCTATGACATAATCATCGAATGAGTAATAAGCATTTTACTTGAAGGGAAGATGTTGAAAGAGAACTTATATACTGTTAAATCTATGATGAAAAACCTTAGTCTAGGATGCTAGAAAAATAACATGTGTCTAAACTTCTACAAGTTATACTACCATGAAAATACATATTTTACCTAGCGCAAAATCAATAGACATGCACGGTATAAATCTAAAGCTAGTAGGGGAAGGAATCTTGTTATGTATAGAAAACTGAGATGCTTCTTAATCACTCCTAGGTTGCAAAACATATTCATGTCTTTATAGACTGCAGAGCACATGATGCTCGATATTAATCTTTTGATATTAAAGTTTGGAAGTAGTTTAATAGGGTGCATCTTTGATTTTCAATGAAACCACATAAAGTACATCTTAGGTTATGTATAGATGGATTAAATCTATTTAAATCATTTCTCATACTCTATTTTTATTGTCCAATGATACTCATGGTTTACAACTTGACACGAGAGATGTGTATAAAACAAAAGTTAATGTTTTTATTTATGGTCATACCTGATCCTGATAATCCGAGTAGGAATATAGATGTTTATCTTCGACCGTTGATTGATGAGTTAAATTAATTGTGGTTATTCAGGAATTTTATATATGTTGTCTTAAGGAAACATAATTTTCAAATGAAGATAGATTTGATGTATCAATGATTTTCTTAGTATAAAATGATTTTTGGTTGAAGCATGTATAAAAAATTAGTATGTTCATAATTTATGGAAAATAACAAGGATTTCAGTTTAACAAATAGTGGTAAAATGTCTCTCTTTTTTTTAATTGCCACCAGATATTCTTGTTAATATTTTTCCATCTTGGATGACTTTTATAAATAAAAAAAATACAATAAGGGGAGTATATTTGACAGAAATTGAATTGAAATATGCATATAAGTATATATGTTATTTAACTGCAATGAATTGAGACTTTTTATTTAGAAAGTATAATATTAACATGTTGCTAATTTAAAACAATTTTCTCTTATACTCTTATATTAACTAGTAGATTGGATAATTCTTTATAGCTAAAATTGTTAATTTTTACTATCCTAAAATTTACATTTGACTGAATCTTAAGTTTTTCAATTTACTAATTTCAATCTTAAATTTACATAATCTTACATTTTTACTATTCTTTTTAATTGTTAATGGTTGTAATCTTGAAACAAGTTTCTCAGATGAGATGCAATGCTAGTAGTAGTTTGAATTTACTATATTTAGGTCTTGAAAGAAATATCAAGTGTTATAATAGGTATATTATTCATGCTAAAACGTATGTTCAGGACAGAAAGACCTATAATAGAGGAGTTTATGTTAAAGGATTAATTTTAAATGAGTTTGAAATTGATTATTTTATAAAGTGAAAAGAAGTGATTGAATTGTAATATCATATCATACAAAATAGAGTCTTTTTATTCAAATATTATTGGTATTATCGTGACTTGCACAATATCGAATGACGGATCATGCCTCCTAAGAAATGGTAAAAAAATGTTTATAAGTTTAATCATAAAATTATGATTATAAGGTTCAGAAGTCACTACATAGTGTTATGGTCACTAAAAAATCTAATAGTCTGCGAGAGTATAAGAAAGAGACTAGTTATGTAAAGAGAAGATGCACCACCCTCAATGGATCTTACCTAAGATAAGTTGCATTATTGTTTCATTGTTTTTCTAGATTGTGTTTCTATTAGTTGGTTTTTTCTAAAACCCACAACAAATCTCCCTTAGTGAGGAAGTCTCTACCTTATTAAAATAAATTCTAATTGTTCTAAATTCTAAATTTATTTATTTCTTGAATATAGCTAAGATCTAGCATTCCGAATGACAAACTTTTTATAATGAGATTTTTTTTGTATTTTGGTCAAAATCTAATGGATAATTGTAAACCGGTATAATATCTATTTTTGTATTTTTTAAAACCATTAAGAGTTGGCTATATGCATGGAAACCAAACACATTTTTTTTGTTTTTGATATGAAAGTTTATTTTTTAATTTTTTAGATTTTTTTGGATTTTTTTTGAAGTTTCAAAGAAAACATGATATTTTTAATACCGAGTCTATATCTTATAGCGTAAGTCTGCAACCTAATATTTTGCAAAACAGTTGGAAAAACAAGTGAGGGGTCATAAATATTTTTAAAATGCCCTTTGGAAAATTTGAGATTTTTTTAATATTATTATATTATTATGGTATTTATTTATTAAGTGGGCTACACCTGGTCAAGTCGGGTTGGGCCAACTAATGGCCCAATAGACCTTTTTTTTTTAATC